GCAGGACAGCTGTCTCCCTTCCTTTCCTCCCCATCTTAGGCTGAAACACTAGGCAAAACCCTGAATCTGTAGTGTATACTTTCTTCTTTAAAAAAGAAAAGAGATTTACTTAGCATTTTTATTTTGTGTGGGGGAATATTTTGCTCGAATGCACGTCTGTGCAGTGTGTACGCCTGGTGCCCTCTGGGGCCAGAAGAGGAGCCCGATGGAGTTGCAGAGAGTCGTGAGCTGCTATGTGGGTGCTGGGTCCTCTGCAGGAGCCGTAACCGCTGAGCCATCTCTCCAGCCCCACAGTTCTTTCTTCACTATTAACAGCAATGCCCCGTGACGTACGTCACGCACAGTCAGCACACACATGGCTGGGAGCCCTGCACGGGAGACCTACGCCAAGACATCAGCCAACCTGAGCCAAGTCCAGACCGAGGGCTGCCCAGCGTGAACACAGGGCGAGCAACAGAGGGAGACAGGCCAAGGAGAAAGTGCAGAGAGAGGCGGGCCATCATGGCAGGCCCTTCTGCTCCAGCCAATCTCAGCAAGGCACCAAGACCCCAGAACTCAGGATCTGGGGACACTCAGAGCCACACCTCTGTGAGTCAGGGCCCAATTCTTTCCCACTCCATTCCCACAGTGCCCTTATCCACTTACCCCCACGCCGGGCTCCAATCAGAGCCTTTATTCCTGACGTCCTCTCTGCCCATGGATCTGAACTGTTGTTTTGTTTTTGTTTCTGTTTTTTCTGGCTGTTCCAGCCCCAGGTCTGTCCACCCCTGAGTAGGCACTAGCCCATGCTAACTCCCCACAAAAGCACATCCCCAAGCAAAAGTCACACCCCGCCTGGGGAGTGGCTCAGTCAGCAAAGCACCTGCCTTCAGAGCATGAGGACCTGAGTTCAAATCTCAGACCCCAGGTAAAAAGCCATGCGTGGTGACGTGTGCTGCCTCAGCACGGAGGATGTAGACACAGGCAGATCCTCGGAGCTCACTGGCCACCTGGCCTAAGTGACAAGTTCCAGGCTGTTAAGAGACTCTGCTTCAAACCATAAGGTGGACAGTGTCTGAGGAACAGTAACCAAGGCTGTGCACACGCTTGTACAGACACATCACATCTCCTGCTCAAAACCACGTGACAGGCCCTGCTGAAGGAAAGAATCCTAAGTGGCCAGGGGCTGGGTTGCCCCTGCCCTTCATTTTAAGCCACACACCCAGGCGGGTACTGTGGGGGGGCGGGGGGGGGAGATAGTCCACAGAGCAGGAGAAAGTGCTGACAAGATAGACCAAATAAGGAACTAATAACCAGCCTATATAAAGAACCACCACAAATCAACAACAAGCAACCTGACTGAAAAATGGACAGCGAGCCTGGTGTGGTGATACACACCTGTAATCCCAGCACTTGATACACGAAGGCAAGAGGATCGGGGTTCAAGGCCATCTCAGCGACACAGTCATAACTTGTCCACACAGGGCACAGAGTGAATGGTATCCCCACACCCCCACTCCTTAAGCCCCCATACCCCACACCTCAACGCCCATGACACCCTCACACCCGCGCATAGTAATGTCTGTGAAAAAAGCCCTTAGGCCCGCAACATGGCTCAACTGCTCAAGGTGACTGCCACCAAGCCTGATGACCTGGTTTTGATCTCTGTACCCAAATGATGGGAGAAGGGAACTGATTACTTCAAGCTGTCCTCTGACCTCCACACGTGCCAGCAAGCGCACACAAATACAAAGAGATACATAAATAGGACAACTGGGGTGGGAGAGGCTCTCTGTGACTTAAGAGGTGACCATCCCAGCTGCTGCCCCGAGGCCGTAAATATCCTCCTTTTTAAAAAGGCAGAGGGAGCTCTGAGAGAACAGGGTCACGGGACAGCAGAGGCGGAAGCTGGAGTGACTCGATGGCCAACCAAGGGATGCCGAGGCTGCTGCAGCCACCGGGAGCTTCAGGCCAGCTCGGAGGTGGAAGATGAAGAGCTCCAGGGAGCCCCCGGTTGCCTGCCTGTCCAGTGGCAGAGAAGAGCTGGGACCCTGGTGTCGCACTGCACAAACCAGGCCCCAGCCAGGAGCACTAGTCCAGTGCCAGGGAGGTTGGACCCTTCCAAAGCCTGTGTAGACTGTCCCACTGGCCTAGGCATTCTCACCCTTCCTGCTCTCTCCAGGCCTGGCTGAGTGGAAAGTTCCCTTCTTAGAGAGTCTCTCTCTCTGTCTCTGTCTCTCTCTCTCTCTCCCTCCCTCCTCCCTGCTGAAACACAAGCGCTTGGAACAAGATAAAACTGCTTAATTTCTAAAAGCCACAAAACCGATCCAGAACAACGAAAAAAGAAACCACGCCGACCCTTGGCTGGAGACGCGGCATTCCGCGCCTCTGAGGCCTGTCCCCGCTCAGTGACTCATGCCAGCCATGCTGAGGAGCCCAAGGCATTTGCCTGAGGAAATCTCCGAGAGAGCCCTGGGCCAGCCTCACAAGGCAGCAGAGAGAGGAGGAAAAGGAGGGACAGGGCCGAGCTAAGAGTGCCAACTGTGGCCCCGAGCCGCTTCCCTGAGGCTGGGCAGGCCCCGTGGCCCCAACAGGGCAAGACCACACCCTCTGCCACGCCTCCTGGACAGCATAGCGGACTCAGCCACCAGTCCTTGGGGCAGCCAGCCAGCCGGGTCTCCATCCACTCAAGCACACGCGTGCACCCTAGCCAGGATGGAAGGAAGGCATGCCATCGGACGCTGAGACAAAAAGGCAGGCTCCAGCACACCCCTCCGGAAGGGGGAGCCAACGGAATGCACCGAAGCCCACTGAAGGGGGAGGGACTCGGCCTCACTCTGCAGATTAGGAAACTGAGGCCAAGGCACAGACAGATCTGCTCAAGGCCACCCAGCAGGGGACAGGACAAGAGCCTCACTTCCCCAGGGACTGGGTTGGGATTAGGGCTACAACTGACCCCAATTAATCAACACTCTAGAGGAGGGGCGGGGATTTTCCTCTTTTCTCCTAGTCTGGCCATTTACAGCTGAGTTTTGTGGGGGAGAAAAGTTTTGTACAGCTATATCCAAATGGAGGTTTCCTAAAGAGCCAGTCATGCCCAGCGTGGCAGCCTGTGCCCAGACCCTACTTACTCAGGAGGCTCAAGCAGGGTGATCCTGAGTTCGAGATCAGCCTGCAGCACACAGCAAGACTACACCTCAACATGAAAAAAATAAGACATAAATGGCTTAGGAGCACAGCAGTTGGAGAATACCTGCCTAGCATGGCTGAGGCCTTGGATTCCATTTACAGTCCCCCCAAAAAGGGAGGAAGGAAAGGACTGGTCTTTGGCCCTGGCCCACCCTAAGAGGAGGTCCCACCTGGGGCTGTATGTAGGCCATTGCCCAGGTGCTTGCCAGCAGGCACAACGCGCCCTGGCTCCATCGCCAGCATCACAGCAACTGACAGGATATAACCCCAGCACCCTGGCGATAGAGGCAAGAGAATCAGGAGTTCAATACCATCCAGGGCCACACAGTAAAGCTGAGGTAAGGTGATCCGCCTCAAAAGGAGAAGGCCCCACTATGGCCTGGTGCTGTGCTGTCCTTGGTGGAGGGCACCAATGATGGTTGGGTGGTGAAGGCCAGGATCCACGGCTCTCAAAGGTTGCTTTGTTCAGTGGACAGAAAGCTCTGGCCAGCCCGTGAGGCTGCAAGCTTTCACACTTGGGTCTCAAGGGAGCCCTCTCTCCTTAGGAGAGGCTCTCAGATACCCTGCTTTCACCCACCTGGGCTGGGCCTTGTCATCCCCAGAATGAAGGCTATGGCTCCGGGGTTGAGCAGGCCACAACCCAGCACAGCCACACAAACAAGTACAGGCCCCTGCCAGCCAGCTGGTGACAGCGGAGGTGGCAGGGCCAGGCTGCCTGGGGGAGGGAAAGAGGAAAGACCACCTGTCCGGGCTGCAGAAGCAGCTGCTACCATCTCCTGCCAGGTCACCCCTACAGCCTGGGCACAGAACCCTTGGCCTGTGTACCTATCACCTCCAGCTGGTCATGGCACCAAGCCCAGCCCCACTTAGTTTCCCCTCCCAGGGCCTGTTGTGTGCCTGGCAGGGCCACAGGTCACACTGCTACCAGCTGACTGTGTGAATGTGTGGCCAGCTCCGATGTCATATCAGAAATCACGGCAATCCCAGGACTGGTGGCGACAGGACCCTGTGTGTGTGCTCAGAGGCGACCAATAGCCCGGGGCCAATGACACTTTCCGGTGGAGCTCAGCCTCCTCGTGACCACAGGACAGCACAAGTCCAGAGGGTCACATCCCTAGAATTCCCCAGCCATGCTACCTCACAGCCCCTGACTCAGAGGGCGCCCAAGGCAGAAGGCAGTCATGACCTCCGACATTGACAGCCCAGCAGGAGCTGAGACTTGACGGGAAGGGGAGAAGGAAAGGGAGACCCCTTTCTCTTTCTTGAATGGTTTACACCCCTGCTGGGTCTGTACTGGTTCCAAGGGGGCTGCCGGAGTGCATGGCTGCGTGTGCGCTCACACACATGCACTCTGGCCCGCGAACGAACACACACACACACACACACACACACACACACACACACAGGGGGATGCACACGTGTGCATACACCTCCTCCAAGCACTGGAAAGCCACCACCTCTATAATCAGCTGCCCGAGAGGCCCAGCAAGGCTATTTCAGGAGGAGACCAAGGCCAGATGATGGACAAACAGGCAGGGCTGGAGCAGAGCCCATCCCCGCCAGCCACCCTTCCTGAGCTTCTGAGCTCACAGTGGTCACAGACAGAAAAGTGGCACACCGGAAAATGAAAGAGAAGTAGCTCCGGAGGAGAAGAGCCCAGTTTAAATAAAAGCCAGACACGACAGGGCTTGGAGTGGGAGCAGTCAGCAGAAAAAGGGAATATTTCTGTAAAAGTGAGCCTTGGATGCTCACTTCCCGGAGCAGCAGTAAAGTCACACCAGTTGGACCCGGGCTGGGGTCAGGGACGGGGGACTCGGAGGGTCGTGGCCTACCTGTGATGCGGTCTCTCTCCATTCCTACGGATGTATTTACAGCAGGCAGCTGGGGTGCCGGTGTCCCCCGCGCAGAGGGGTCCTCCTCCCCTTTCTCACCCTGTCGCCCTCCCTCTCTCTGCCTCCTCCTCCTCCTCTTCCTCTAAAAACACTCTTTGTCTGGTCTAATTTCTTCAATCTGCTGCAATCACGAACAGATCCAAATTACCACATTTCCATGTGTTGGTCATATGTCTCTGCTCCAAACTGAAGTAGCATTGTCTCTGCCACACAGGGGCGAATGGGGAATTCGAGGAGAGAGAGAAACTGAAAAATAAGTTGGGGGAAGGAGCCCCGATGGGAACCCCAGGCGTCCCTGGGTCCTCTGCCTGGCCTTCGGTGCGGTGGCCTCAGCCGTCCAGCGTCCAGCATACAGCTTCCGGCAGCACCTCCTCTCTCCGCCCCCTCCAGGCCCCGCCGCTGGAGTCTGGCTGTTCCCTTAATATCCACTTGGAGATGCCTAACTTAGGCTCTTGGAAACCAACTCGCAGAGTCAAATTCCTGGCCACTTCCAAAGTCTTTCAGTTTTTCCCGTCCAGCGATGCTGTGATTCTTCTTGGGTTTTAAACGTTTAAAAAGCCTACTTCAAGAGTGCCAGCCTCACCGTACTCTGCGGGTCTAGAATCTCAACCCCACCGCACCCGAACCCCTGGGCAGGCAGGAGTCACCTCCCAAACAGGAGGAACTGAAAGAAGCTTCCAGACACCTTCCCCGAAAAGCCCTGAGAAGTACCCCCTGTCCTGTCAGTGGGCACATCAGAGGGACAGGCTGTCCCCACCCCAGGCTCCCAAGAGGCTGAGCTGGCTACAGGCTTCCTGGAAGATTCCCACCCCGTACACATGAGTCAGTGAGTCTCAGCGGTCCCCAGGGAGGGGACACGTCCTCTGGTTACGATTTCCCCAGACTCAGCGGCTCTCTGAGAACATGGCTGGCCCTGGGGGCTCATCTGTTTCCTGGTGGACACCTGGTCCAGGAGCTGCTCACCTGGCAGGGGGAGGGGATCATCAGCACCTGCTCATGAGCCCTAGCTAGGCTGATAGGCTCAGCAGTAAAAGGGCTGGGGGGGCAGGGGCAGTGCCCAGGGACTGGAGCATCCTTGTACCCAAAGGTCATTCAAACCTGGTGGAAATTGGGGTCTTTGCTGTGTAGTCTCTGCTTAAAGAAACATGTATGTATTTGTGTCAAGGCTGAGGGTTGTTCTGTAAAATCAACTTCTGCCCCCTCCATTTAGTTCTTCATTCATTCATTCATTCACTTTACAACCTGATCGAAACCCTCCCCCTCTCCAGTCCCCCCACCTCACACAACCTTCCCTGCATCTCTTTATGGTATTGGGGTTTTGTTGGTATTTTGAGACAGGGATTGGAACTCTAGGTAAAGCAGGCTGGCCTTGAACTTCTGAAGATCCTCAAGGTTTTCATCCAGAGCACTAGCAATGCAGGCTTATGCCATCTTGCCTGGCTCAGACAGAGACTGCAAGCCCGGGAAAGGAATCTGCCTGACCACTAGCCCACTGTGTTTGGGTCCCCAAGGCACTTGGACATATATTCCTTGACAGCTGGTTCCGTGGAGGCCTGAGTTTGTAGACCCTCAGCATAAGGCCTGATCCTTCATAGCTCAGAGCTAAAGCACCCCAAGCCCAAGATGCCATTCCAGGCCCATCCTCCTCCCTGCCTGCTGCGGGACCCTAGATGCCCTTCCCTAGACGGCAAGGCATCTTCTTGTGGGAGTGTACAGACCATCTCTAGCCTCCTGGGAGACATCAAGAGAAATGTCCCTGCCAGGGAGCGTGGAGCGGAACCTCAAAGGGCAGCCTACAACCGTGAGAGAGTCGGGAGCAGCCTCACTGAGAGGACACTCGGGCACCGGAAGAGTTGACCAATATTCCCCTAAGACTTCACATCCTAGAACCCATGGCGGAGGCTGTCAGAAATAAAACTTCACAAGAAGTGAGGGATTTTGAGAGGAGGACCTTTTGGACCACCTGAGTGATCCAGGACAAGCTCCCATAGGAGACCTTAAAAAAAAAAAAAAAAGGAGGGGCTGTCTGGGAGGAGTTAAGGGGAGGAACTGGGAGTGAATATGATCTAAATACATGTCATGAAACTCTCAATGAAGTAAGGAAAATGTGTATTTTCCCCCAACATAATAATATTCTTATTACTTGGGAATTTTGTGCAAAGCCCCATAACCACGCTCTCTTCCCATTCCTCCCGGTCCACCCTGGCACCCCCTGCCCCCCAGAACACACCAAATCCAGGTCGTGTTGCCCACATACTCACTGGAGTGCAGTCAGACTCCCAGTGGCCAGCCCTTCAAGGAGACTGAGGCCCACCCCCACCGCCTGCCAGAAGCCATCGGCTGTGAAGAGCCACACCTCAGCCTCTACACGGCTTTCCAGGGCTCTCATCAATAGCTTCCTGTCTGGACTGTTTCCTTGAGATGTGGGGCGGCAGGGTTGGATTTTTAAAAAGAGGGGGTCTGATACTCGGAGGGAAGTGGCCACACGCCAAGGAACAGTTGGAGTCTCCGAAGCTTATACCCTGGCTCATCCACGGTGATGCTGAGCGCGCTTGCGGTCCCAGGGCTGAGAGAATACACGTGTATTGCTTTACCCCACCCTTCTGCAGTGACATTCTTCAGTGACTGTTTCCATCTAAAACAGTCAGACCAATCAGGTCGAGGAAGGTCGCCATGGGCTGGGGCTCTTATTTCCTTTTTTTTTTTTTTTTTTCTTTCCCCGACTTCTTTTGAAATACAGTCTTAGATAGCTCAGGCTAGCCCCCAGCAAAGGGGGGCTCTGAACACCAAGAGTTGTTTTTGTTTGTTTTGTTTTGTTTTTTAGGATTTATTTATTTTGTTGTTTTATGTATGTGAGTGCTTTGCCTGGACGTACATATGTGTGCCAAGCGTGTGCCTTGTGCTCGGGCAGGCCAGAAGACGGTGTTGGATGCCCTGGAGCTGGAGTTGTGGATGGTTGTGAGCCACCATGTGCGTGCTGGGAACTGAACCTGGGGCCTCTGCAAGAGCAGCAAGTGCTCTGAAGCACCGAGCCGCCCCTCCAGCCCCCGACTCTGAACTTCTGATCCTCCTGCGTCCACCTCCTGAGGGCCAAGATTCCAAGTGCGCACCACCAGGCCTGGTTTTATTTACTCTCTTTCTTGGCTTTGAAGAAAATCCTCCTTGATGGTTTTTCTGCTTATAAATACAATGTCTGTTCATTCTATCATATTTAGTAAGTAAAAAAAAAAAAAAAAAAGGTCAGAAGAAATTGTTTCTTCCTTCAGGAGACTCCCCAGGCAAACCAGAAAGACGTGAGCCATCATGCACCCCAGTGAGTGGCCCAGGGTGGCGAGTGAGCCCAGGCCAGGGGCTGGTGCCTCCTGTAGACACCAGCTGTATATGCCCTCGGCATCACTCTGTGGCCTCTGTAGCCGCTGTGACCCTCAGCTTCTAGTTTGGCTCAAGTTCTGCTTCCCCGCCATGCCTAAAAATCTAAGCACTCTGGCCCAAGTCAGGGGAATAATTTGAAACCAAAACCCTGGCAGTGCAGACAATTCAGATGGAATCTGCATTAGTCATACAAAGAGAGAGGGTGAGAGGCAGGGCAAGCCCCAGCTGCAGGAGCCAAGAAACCCACTGCCCACAGAGTGTGGAGGCTCGGGAGACAACTCAACAGCCTCCCCCGAGCTCTCCCGTTCAGGAGAGTGCCAGGGGCTGTGACAGTCACCATCAGGAAGCATGGACGCCCATGAGGGCTAGCCTGCTTTCAATAGCTTTTCCAACCCGCACAAGGTTTGCCCTTCTGGGGAGGCAGGACCCCCGGGCCACAGCTCCGAAGCATCTGGCTGCGCCAGCCCAAAGCCCCAGTTCTCACCCCAGCCTGCAGTTAGGACACTGCCATCATGGATCCTTCCCAGTCCTCCGGTCAGCATCCAGCCCTCCCCCAACACTGACCCACACGGGTGACCTGGCGCCCTGACCACGTTCTTTGTGATATCACTCACAAGGACATAAACCTCCAAGCTGCAGAGGGAACTCACTGTCACGACCCCACTTAAAAAAGCAGCTGGGGGCCTAGGCAGAGTCAGGAAGGAACTGTTCATCTGCAGGGATCAGGCATTTCCTCCTCAGTTAGGAAGCCTTCCAGGATTGCTTCCTCCCTTCTGTCCTGCCCCATATTGTAACTTAGCTCTCCCAGACAACTCTGCCCCCGTAGCTTTCTTGGTACGACTTTTCCTCCTGAGTGGATAGACCTTCAGACCCCCAGATTAGAGGGTCTGCTCTATGGAGCCACAGGAAAAGGGACAGGGGACTTCACAGAGCAACCGGGGGCTGGGACCATGGACCACTGCGGCCTACATCGCACTCAGCTAAGATGCCGCCGCCATGCCATCTTGGCTCCCCAGGCACCCTGGGAGGTACATATCTGCACCCCAGCACTGGTCGGGGTGGGGGCAAAAAGGTACCAGGTGTGGGCAGGCAACCTAAGCTACTGACAGTGACGGGGAGATCCCATGGAAAACAGGAAAGGAAGAACCCGCACACACTCACACACATGACTGTGACCCCGGAAAAATGGTTTTGAAGGCTCCTCAGGGCTAGGCTCCAGGTGTGCTCCCTGAGGAAGATCCTGTGAGGAGGCAGGAGGAAGGAATCCTGAGAAAAGCAGGCTCACCTCTCTGGGCCGATTTCCTGCCACTCGCCACGTCCATCCCCTCCCTTAAAGATCCACACCCAAGCCATGAGGCTCAACAAATGAACACCTAAAGACAAATGGCGCTTGGGAAAACAAGTGATAGCTCAGTCAATAAAACGCTTGTCTTCCAAGCACGAGGGCCTGCGTGATCCCCATCACCCACATGAAAAGGCTGGGCACGGGCTGCACACCCGTTATCCCCATGCTGGGGAGGCAGAGACAGAGGGGTCCCTGGGGCTCACTGACCAGCCTGCAGAGACTAACCGGGTAGTCCAGGACAGCGAAAGACCCTGTCTCATAATATTAAAAAAATAAAAATAAAAATAAAGTAGTGAGCATCTTATAAATGACAGACAGTTACCATCTGGGCTCCGCGTATACAACCAGACCTATGCATGTCCACACACATGCACACACACACACACATACATAGACACACATGTACAAA